AAATGAGCAATCACGCTTTATACTTTTTCCTAAGGCAATACGAAGTTTGACACTTAATCAAATCACAGTTAGAAATGTTATATTTGTTAGTACTACTAGGTAAACCTCACCTTATTAAAGAGCTTCAAGGTTGAAAAAAATCCAGAGTGAAAGCGCTTTTATCACCCCAGTGCGAACAAATCGATTTAACACTGATGATTACTGACTGGTTTCAACATAGAACTTTGCACAAAGTATGACAGCTCGAGTTGCCAAACTCCATGTAGCACAAAAAGGGATTCCGTCAGAGATGACGTGATCTGGCTAATACCAAACGAGCCTTTTGTATTCGTGGTGAGATGTCGTCAGCGGTCAATGCATTGCATGATAGTCTAGGGGAGATGGCTAAACCCTGATTCCAAACCTCCAACGACTGGCGTATGAAGCTCACTGGAGCTCACCGGCAGACGTATGGACAAAGGGCTTGTTGGATGTCTGGCCCCATTCAAAAAGGCGTATGAACCGAACTCCGGTCACCGGCTGCCAATGGATAGTGGACTCCCTACTCCACTCCTACTGTCTTGTAGGTCACACTTGGTTGTGTAAAGGCTAGAGCTGCACTCTCAAACAAAAGGCCAAGCGATTCTGGGGACATCACTCGTACCAAATTCCCATGAAACTTCATGAACTCTCTTACAAACGTCAAGGCTGATATGGAGTGCCTGGGGCTACAAACCGTCTACGGACTCCGTCTGTGGAACAAGAATTGGATAACCCTGTCGCAAAACCTTGCATCAGATCGCCGCCCCTGGGCAGCGATGATTCGAGATGTTCATGAAGTCGGCTCATCCTCCCGTAGGAGATAGCCGAAGTAAAGTAAAGTAAGGTCAATGCATTAGGTCTGATGCAACTTCCTAAATAAGCGAAGCAGTCAACATTTCACTCCATATCTTTAAGTTAGCAGTAGGTGCAGTTAAATCCTGCAGTATCATTTTAATGAGTGAATCGCACGTTAAACATCCAAAGATTTCATTCTCAAGGTGTTTAGAGGACTCTACATTTTCACGTAGTAGCACACTATCACCTACACACTCTAAGTCGACATGACTATCCCGTGGTAACTAGACAATCTCCAAGTCATTTAAGGTCACATCCACTAATAGATCTATAATGAAATTAAACAAAGTGGGGGCAGTGGTCATCCCCAACAGACTGTTATCATTTCAGATGACAACTTTGTAAGCTGTTACACAGCTATGTGAGTTCGAGTAGTGTGTCTTAATTAGTGAGATGTACTCTCTGGAACCGCTGAGGACGGCGAAGTTATATAAGTAGAGTGTGTCTTAATGAAAGGCAATATGTCTGCCACTTAAAAGATGCATAAGGTCTTAACCTTTAACCGCTGAATTAGTAATATTTTATTCAGCATAAATGGAAGGAACTTGAAAGAAACAACCTCTTTTACCTACCTGGGAAGCATCGTTACAACTACAGGAAGATGGAACTGACGAGGATATCAAAGCCAAAATCGGAAAAGCAAGACAAGCTTTCACTACTCTCAAGTCTGTGTGGAGGTCAACAGCACTCAGCATCAAAAGTAACATCCGGATTTTCAACTCCAATGTGAAGTCAGTGCTACTCACTAAACGGATCAGAGAATTGCACTGCGCGTCATAAAAAGCATCTCAAACAAACCACAGACCTTCATTAACAGTTGTCTTCGCTCAAGATCAGATGGCCAGCCAGAAGAGATCAGCAACAGAGATCTCTGGCAATGAGCGAACCAACTCAGCAGGAACCTATTGTGAAACAAATAGGCAGGAAGAAATGGAGATGGATTGGCTGGTCATACTCTGAGGAAACCATCAAGTGACATCACTGGACAAGCCATTGCTCGAATGGAACCCGACTGAAAGGGAAGCGGCGAGTTGGTCGTCAGTGCGAGGGTGGGTGACTTGGAGGAGGTCATGTGAAGAGGAAATGAAAGCGTGTGGTCAGACTTGGAGCCAGGTGAAGACTCTAGCAGGGAACCGAACGCAATGGAGACGCACGGCTGAAGCCCTATGTTCCTCTAGGAATTAAAGGAAACAATAATAATATATTGAGAGTGTATTAGCTATACACGCACAACTAAGTGAATTTATTCCAGGCATGAATAAGAGTTATTTTATCAGTACACAGTAGCATGATCACCTTGTTAGTGCCTTGTCTCAGGTAACCTGGTCCCCTCTATATTTCTTTTTGAAAATTTATCAAATTACTGAGTGCTTACGACAAGAAATAAAATTTCAAAACTAAGGTCATTTCCAAAGTACGCAGTTCAATGTGAAAATCCTTCGGAAACTAAAAATAGTCAGATCATGATACATGGTCTGCTTGACACTATAAATAGCTACCAAGGGAACAAACAAATCTTTTTGAATGTATTACTTTTGATAGTTGGTCAGACATCAGAAATGCCCGTCAACTTTACGATTTTAAAAATTTTTAACGGGTGACACCGTAAAATTATAAAAGAACACAACAATAATCATCGACCTTTTTTAAAAAAAAACTATTAGTCTGGATAGTGTTATTTGAAAAACGAGTTTTATCTGAAAAATGTGACCACTCGAATTTCAAATTTCATTGACTGTATCACCAGTTAGCCAGAATTCGAGTGATTTAAAATGAATCGGATCGCTTAGCCGAAGTTTAACCGGCTCCACCTGTGACGCGTGGAATCCCAAACAACTGTCTGCTGTTCAGATCACTTCAAGCTGACTGGCAAGTACTACTGTTTGACGTTAGTGTTCTCCGACTACTCATAGTATACACCGAAATATTGACCACGCCAACCAGTCAACTTCTGATCATGTACCGAGACTGGATTCTCACGATTGTATCTGCGAATTAAAAAGTACTGCATTGTATATCAAACTGTTTGTTAATTAGTTTAAACAAATGCGTTTCATCTTTTAGTGTTTTGTTGTTCAGGTGACACAAACTCGTAATAGAGCAGCAGCTGTATTACACATACTGGTATATGACTGTTGAAATACACTACCTTCCACTAAATTCAGAACTATCTGTCTCCGATATAACTGTAACTACCTAGAGACGTAACGCTGTTCGAAAATAAACTTCTTTTGATGACACGTGTAACACGCCTCGATCACTACAAACTAGTGTATACATTTTACAATCCCTAGTCAGTTCATAAAACAAATGACCTCCTAAGATAAATGAATCTCGAACTATTTGCATCATCTCGCCAAATCATGTAACTTTTCTCTGTGATATCTGTACGTGTGTGGTCTTTATCGGTTCCAAGAGAATGTGGGACAAATGATCAATTACGAAGGATGACAACCTGAAATAATCATACACTTCTGCGCAACGTTTTGCATCAGTTTCTCTGAGGAGTTTACCAATCTTTGTCTAATGACGTAAAAAGTAGACAGTAAAAGCTACCTTAACTTTCTTAAAACACAATTAGTTATTAGGAAGGCGTAAGTCAACAAAGTGACCTCTTTTCGTAACTTCACTTCAAAGCTGCTATTCACGGGATTAATATATACAATGTTACTTGACGAGTAATAACAAGGGATGAAAAATAGTGGATAACCCTACGTAATCGAAAGGGTTAACAACTAATCAAATCCCTACAAACAAAATCTTGAAAAGTAGTCTGAGGCTCGACAGTGCCTAGCTGCAGGATAAAGTTGCCCGGATTTCTAGTCATAAACCGTAACCAGTAGTGTCCACCCGGTCGGGAGTGAGGACAAATACTCGCCGATGATATTGGCTGGTGTTCGCGCTAAAATCAAGAATTGGTAGGAGTTAGAATTCATGGGCCACTGAGTTGGGTCCCGGCGACTGAATGGTCTACGAGCTTGCCTTGTAACCGGAAAGTCTCGGGTTCGATACCCGGTGAGTGCATACTGCCGATGGGTCCCAAACTAGAAGGAAATAGCTGTTCAGTACTCCCTGGTTTTCAATGGCACTCTGGCTGGATTCAACGTAGGACTTGGCACCGAAGTGCAGCAGTTCCAGTTGCCACGTTCCAAATAGCAAACAAAGGTAGACAGGAAAATGGGTGAAGAGAATCAATAGAGTTTTGACAAGTATAAGAGTGAAACAGAATGAGTAACAGTAGAAAGGAATATGAAAGATTACAGAGATTGAATACATCTGCGTAAGCCATTGACAACGATTTTGAGCCATGTCACCTATTGTCTCCAGTTATTGATTCCTAGAGTCCCGAGGGCTCCAACCCGGAAGTCTGCATCTCCCTACCTGACTCAGTTTAACTGTCAAGGATTTCATGGATTGATTGATGCTATGTTTTTGTTTGGCCACCACTTACTCTTTTCCAATCTGCACCTATATCAGCTAGTAATGCCCACCGTGGTGGGGGGGGCGATGGTTAGGCATGCGCAGCACGTGACCTAGCCATCTCAATCTATGTAACTTTATAGCCTCTTCGAATGATTTTCCCTCGATTGATTGCCCAACACTCTACGCCTAACGTCAACATTACTTACCTTATTATGCCACCTAACGTGAGAAAGAGATCGTAGACATCTATGATCAAAAACAGTCAACCTTTTCATGTCTTCAACTCGTATTGGCCATGTTTCAGAGCTATAGAGAAGGATCAATGGCACTCTAACTGATATCAAACTTGAAATTTGTTAGGTAATGAATAATCATTCGAAAATAACAGACAGAAGACGAGAAAACAAAAGAGTGAAAATGGATTACAGTAACTTAAAAAGACTACACTAGTTTATCATAGCACACCTATCGATTATTAACAAATGACTACTCATCACTTAAATGTATATATATTCCTAAATAACTGCGCAGCTTTGAAGTGAAGTTACAATAAAGGATTTCTTTGTTGGCTTATGCAATCTTAACTATATGACGAATGAAATATTACTCAGGGAAAACTGTTACTACACTATGTGCGGGGTGAAGGTGTACAACGACTTCACAAAATCAAAATACAATTTGTAGAAGAAAAATTATTTATATATAGAGATAAAAATTATGGTTGCATAATAGATTAAATAGTTTAACAATTATATATTATTAATCAGTACATACAATATATTATTTATAGGAAGGGTAGAAATTAAAATAATGCCAACTTAAAGTTAAAGTTATATATTTACATTTATTACAATGATATCGTCTCACCGTCGAACTGAGATATAGCAAAGGCCAATTTGTGTTTCTATACAGAAAAACAAAGAGAAATTCAAAGGAAAAGCAGTGAATTCTTGGAAAATAAAACAACTTTATAGACAAGTGACCCGATGACTAATCCTTATCTTTCTCTCTGCCCTACACACGCTTCTTCTGTTTTGTATTAAAAGGCGTGCATAAACATTTATAAGTACTTCCTTCATATCACAATTAAGCGGCCATACAAAATGCCTTAGTTCATACGACTGAACATTCAGCTAAAAAGATGGAACACTAAAACAACCCACCTAGAGAAACCCAACATGCAACGGACAACTAATAAACTCCAATAGTTGAGTGCCTCTATGTACATAGCGAAACCTCAACTGTTCACTGTGCCAAAATTTGCTGCCTTTCCACTGTGGAAGAGGAGCCGAACACTCTGAAAACATTCTCCTTGAAAATGGTTGACCAGAAGATTTCATGACAAAAACTATGAAGCCTAAATGAATGAAACCTCCCACACTTACTTCCCTACCTGAATCTATAATTCAATAGAGACTCATAGGCAGAAATAATGAGAAATCGTCTATTCCTTCCATTAAAGAAAAATATCTTTGTGACAGAACTTTCACCAGTCTTTCCATATTAGTTTTTTTTATTAGATGTATCACACATTGAAACAGTATTATTTACTGGATGACGTTTCGGACAAAATTTATTGTTCATAATCATATCAATTATAATCACACTTTGACTAGCCTTCGCTACAAAACCAATGATTCTCATGAACGTGAAGGATAAGCTATAACTCCTGGTCTCATCGATATGTCTATCAAAGCAATTGCTCCTGTAGGAGTAGATATGTTGGCCGCACTCAGCGTTCGCTATCTACACGTATCATCGAACACTTACCTTCATGGTTTTATAACGGAGAAAAAAATTCCTCCCCAATGCTGTCCTGGAACACCCGATCGAATCTGGATATCGAGCTAACTTGCAAACCAACTTCAAAGTCATCTACAGAACACGCGGGAATCTTGCCAGAGGAGTATAAATCAGACTTCTACAAGCCGCAGAAGCGATGGCAATTTACATGTCAAATCCCGAGTTCTGTGCACAAGAAAAGTTTTTCAGTCACTAAACACCTACAATGGATCTAATCTGTCTTAACACCGGATACATATATTTTGGTTTTTTAATTGTATTACGTCCCCTGTCCCCGCCGATCAGTTTCTACCCCTTATTATCACTGTGGTTAACTTGACTCTCGTTCAATTTTAGCTGATTCCTACCCAATCCCATCAACTATATTACGTCACTTAATTTACTTATTTAATCTTATTTCAATTTCGATCCGATTATCACTTTCTATATTACTTCGTTTATTATATGAAATTTACAACTTAAATGACACATATTTGGAAATATGTCTTCTGTTGTAGAGGGGATATATGCATATGTGATCATACAGCTTGAGAATATCGCTGAAGAGAATACCTCTTCACTGACCGCCTTTTCTTTTTCACTGAGTGTGGTTCAACTGACAGTTGCAGCGAGACGTGTGAATGACAAATTGTCACATCAAATCGCGAAGGTTCTTTTCAAGTCTCAAACGTTATTATTATTATTTCCTTTAGTTCTTAGAGGAACATAGGGCTTCAGCCATGCGTCTCCATTGCGTTCGGTTCTCTGCTAGAGTTTTCACCTGGCTCCAAGTCTGCCCATACGCTTTCAATTCTTCTTCCCATGATCTCCTCCAGGTCACCCTTGGACGACCAACTCGTCGCCTCCCTTTCGGGTTCCACTCGAGGGCTTGTCTAGTGATGTCACTTGCTGGTTTCCTCAGAATATGGCTAGCCAATCCATCTCCATTTCTTCCTGCCTATTTGTTTCACAATCGGTTCCTGGTTGGTTCGCTCCCAGAGATCTTTGTTGCTGATCCTTTCCGGCCATCTGATCTTGAGTATTGAGCGAAGACATCTGTTAATAAAGGTCTGTAGGTTGTTTGAGGTGCTCTTTGTGACACGCCAAGTCTCTGATCCGTATAGTAGTACTGACTTCACATTGGAGTTGAAAATCCCGATCTTATTTTTGACGCTGAATGCTGTTGACCTACACACAGACTTGAGAGTAATGAAACTTGCCTTGCTTTTCCGATCCTCGTCAGTTCCGCCTGTAGTTGAAACAATGCTTCCCAAGTAGGTAAAGGAGGTAGTTTCTTTCAGGTTCCTTCCATTTATGCTGATTGCTGTCTGTTGTTGTTCGCCAGGAATCTTCATCACCTCCGTTTTCTCTATGTTCACCTGAAGTCCTATCTTCTCTGGATGCTTCTTGTGCCAACTTGTGGCTTTTCACTTGCATATCTTCCAGTTTGTGGGAAATCAAACATATATCATCGGCGAAGTCCAGATCCTCCAAGTTCTTTGTGTGAGTCCATTTTATGCCTGTTTCCTCATTGCCCGCTGTCTGTCGCATTATCCAATCTACTGCAATCAGGAAAATCATTGGCGATAGTAGGCAACCCTGTCTTACTCCTGTCTTCACTTCGAAGGATTCCGTGAGCTTCCCGTTGTGGATTACTTGGCATGCAGCGTTGTCATACAACTGTTGGATGAGATGTATAATTGTCGGTGGCACCCCATAGTAGCGTAGGAGTTTCCAAATCACCTCTCGATCGACGCTGTCGAAGGCCTTTTCAAAGTCGATGAAGTTGAGATAGAGAGGTGACTGCCATTCCAAACTTTGTTCAATGATGATCCGTAGTGTGGCGATTTGATCAATACATGACTTGTTTCTTCTGAATCCAGCTTGTTCCGGTCGAAGTTTTTCATCCAGGGCTTGTTTGATCCTTTCCAGGATGATGCGGCTTAGTATTTTGCTTGGGAAGTCTCAAACGTAGCTTGTTACAATGAAGGACAGTTAGATTTACTTGAAGTCACAATCTAGTAGACAAGACTGCATTTTATCACTACTCTCTAACAAAAACGACAACAACAACAACAACCACGAGATGGTAAATACCCAAACTAATGACCACCTCCTCCTACTGGTTGAAAATTTTAAACGTCTATACTAGAGAGAGAGTAAGTAAAATCTCTAAAACACAGATTGATTGTACAAACAATGCCTGTTTTAAAATTTTTAAACTCACTTTCACAGCTGCTAAAATAAACTCAATATCTGATTGAATATCTTTCTCAGGAATTTGATATATAAGTTTTGGAGTGGTTGGAGATAGGGTAACTGGTTTCCTTCGAGGTTCAAGATTTGGACTGGGGAGATAAATATCAGATTGATCTGAAGATATTGAAGATTCTCTATCAACATCTGTAATACGCCAAAAAAAAACCATAAATATACTTAGAGTGAATGTCAACTTATATAAAAAATAATATAGGCCTAAAATAAGTATGAATGATCAATATTTATCGTAAATGTTAAGCTTATGACTGATTATTTATAGTTTTTAGCAAATAATATCTATGTCGTATGTTACTGACAAGTATATGGATAGAGACATTAAATATGCGTATAACAACAGAAGACAAGGGCCAGGCAACAGATCGTTTATTGAAGAAATCAAGAGGTTATTTATATATTTTTATGTATATTATTATTCGTAATTTTTAACAGAGAAACAGCGTCTTCTGATTGGTTGTTTTCTCGCTGAAAGTTAATCTATCATCACTTTGTGGCTGTTTCTTTGACGGTCACACCATACACCTGCGAATCGTATCCGCCCACGCAAAGTCTTTGCTCTTGTTTTTTTTTTCTCATGACCAAGATTTGGGACGTAAATTGCTGTCTACTACCAATTTTGGCTAGCAGACAGCTCTCTTGCCACATACACACACCATCTGCAAGAATATCGAATCGCGGAGAGGTGGATGCTTGTGAAACAACATGGTGTAAACGTGACAGGAATACACAAACAAGCACAATATCAAAGATATATGCAAATTGTGAACCATACATGGTAGACATATTTAGCCTATTTCTGTACACTGAGTTGCCAATCTATTGATAATTCAGTTGCTGCATACTCTTGTCTTCTGCCGTATAATACACTGAGACTGGTATTGTAATGGTAGAGGACTTGGTAAAGGAATGTTTATTTACACAATGATATCTCTATAGAGCCAAATTATGTACACCTTATCTTCAACGAAGGTGCGTCGGTGGAACAGTGGTAGAATGCTCGCCTACCACGCAGGTGGTTCGGCGTTCAACCCCCCTCCGACGCACTCCTTTACCTCGCTAAGCCAGTAATAAGATTGGTAAAGAGGGAAGGTTGGACATGAGGCTAGCAGCCTTATCCCGCAAAAATAAGCACCACTGCTACCGAAACTTCAAGCCTCTAGCTTGAAACCCTATGTTCTACTGGGAACGTACAGGAATAAAAAATATATCTTCAACGCACGATTTGCACAGCTCTTCCGTGTTGTGCTACGTCTAGCCTTCATATCGTGTTTCTTTGTGGTCCTTTCACGTTTCTCCGCAACGCTGAATCATTTGCTTTCTCTGACGTGAAACTTATCTCCCTGCTATGTGATATTTTTACGCTGATGAACGTCTCTTTACATACTACTGATAAATCTTACCAGTAGCACATACTACAGTATGTCTTAGCCAAGAGTGGAATAACTGACTGATTAACTGGTTTCAATGTAGAACTTTGCACAGGTTTTCAGCAGTTCAAGTTGCCACACTTCATGTAGCACACAAAGCAAGAGAACAGAATAAAGACAGATAATAAACAGCTGTGTGAGGGGAAAAGAATAGTAATATGGATGCATCTGCGCCGCTGAGGACGATTTTGAGTGGAATAACTACAACTCCAATAATGAAACTGAGTAAGAATCAGTTAACACACCTTGAGATCGTATACTACTACTACCAATACTGCTGCTAATTTGCTAATTACAAAGTTCATATTCACTGAGGGGTAAATACATTTAGTTTTCCTTCCTCTTGAATATTTCCGTTTATTGTACTTTAGTTGGATTTTTTTTCTCCACCTTGATGAAGCGTGACAAGTTGGACTGTTGCCCCCAAATTCTTTTGAATACAGTTCCTAGAAAAGGTCTTTTACGTTCCAGGCCAAGAGCCAGACACTCTTATTGTGTGAACGCTGGGTGATACTAAATAGTTACCCAGACTGAGGTAGATGGAGCGGGGTTCGAAACTGAAACCCACTGAATGAAAGCCGGGAACTTCGGCCAGTGAGTCACTTAGCTACACCTAAATGCAAAGTTCTACTCTCTGAAGCAACTGCAGCATGCAAAGAGATGTGAATCATGATACAGTAAAGCTAACAAGCAAATATGAATATACGTGGGGGGGGGGGGGGAAGAAACTGACACCTGAATGAATAACTTTATACTATGTCAACGATAGTCTATAACTATTGATTCAATAAACTGAACTGAACAAAACTCAATAAAACTTCAGTTGACTTCACTAGATGAAGAAGGCGTTGATTCGGCATAAGCAGTAAATTTCTTAGCTGCTTAACTATAAATACATTTTTGTACTTACTTTTAGGAGTTTTATATCCACGAACAATACGCTCATATTGAAGTTTACAGATACTCTCTTGAAGACGTACACGAATCTGTTCTTCAGCTGCTAGAAGTCGCTCCTTGGCATCACATTCAACAAGTAGTAATTCGTTGTCCACCTCTTTATTGACTACTTCCACAGCGAATCGCATTCTGTATTTTGCCACCTTCAAAAAAAAACAAATAAGGACTAGGCTTTCTATTGAGAGACAATACAGAAAGTCACTGAATCACAAAGTAAAATAAAAACTCACTTTTGATGGGGTACACACAGAATGAGTCACGGGTTTATTTGGATTACCACTTCTGAATAGTGTTTGTTGTTGATCACAAAAACACATACACACAGAGACGACTAAGTGGCCCAAAGCGCTGCCGCTCGTGACTCCAAAGTCGGCGAACATTCTGAAGTGTTGTTTTGTATTCTGTATACACAATAAAACAAACTTCAGGCATAATTGAAAAGTAATGGAATCAAAATCATTACTTTTTGTTGCATATTTCACAAACAACCTATATTAAACTATACACAATTTCCCTTAAACTAAATTAATGGGGCGTCTCTACCATCATTATTTTTGGGCGCACATCTCCTTTCCCCCCAATTCATATTGACAAGCTTGCATAGCAGTCAAGTTTAAAATCATACGATGCTTTTTGAAATTCAAATATCTTAGTACAGTACCATATCTCTGACGAAATCTCAGCACGGATACAGAGGGCTAGTTTCGCATATGCCAGTTTACGCCGTCTCTGGTGTAGACGTGATATCCGACTATCGACCAAGGAGCGTGTGTACTGCTCATTAGTCCGCTCCGTCCTCCTTTATGGCTGTGAGACCTGGCCATTGAGAGCAGAAGACATGAAAAGATTAGCTGTGTTCGACCATAGGTGTCTGCGTTCTATCTCTCGTGTGAAGTGGTATAATAAGGTGAGCAATACTGAGGTTAAGCGTCGAGTGCTAGGTAGGTGGGAGGGGAAATCAATCGACGAGGCTGTGAAGTAGCTACATAGACTGAGATGGTTAGGACATGTGTTACGTATGCCCAGTCATCGCCTTCCTCGACAATGGGCAATGTTAGTTGATATAGGGTCAGGCTGGAAAAGAGCTAGCGGCGGTCAAACCAAAACATGGCACCAGTCAATGAAATCTACAACAGTTAGTTTAAGCCAAGTAGGAAGGTGTAGACTTCCTGACTGGTTTGGGTCCTCGGGACGGTAAAAACCAATGGTTGGAAACAATTGGTGACATGGCTCAAAATCGTTCTCAAGGGCTGGCTTGCGCAGATGCATCCACTCCTTGTGACTCATGATTTCCAATGAAACTGTTTTGTTCTTCGTTATTACTATTCCTTTGTCTCACACCTCTGTTTACTATCTCTAATGTGCATTTTTCTTCTACTTTTTTCTCTTGCTTTGTGTGCTACATGGAGTGTGGCGACTTGAACTGCCGCACATATGTGCAAAGTTCTATGCCGAAAACAGACAGACCTTCTAGTCATATTACTGTGACTAGGCCGTCTTTTGAACTAGTCAAAGGAATCTAAATGTGAGTTCTTTATAGATCTCTTTATTAGATAGATTATTATCTTGTAAATATATGTACCTGTTTGTTTTTACTTTCTCAAGAACCAGTAACTAACTTGGAGTCTAACTTGGTGTAATCAACCAATATATGGTTGCTAGTTTCTTTGTTGGTCATTTGAAAACAGGAGATGGTACTAATAACAATTCAAAGCGTGTTCAGTATTCAAACAAATGCGCAAAAATACCCGATAAACACCTGAACAACTTTCTGAAGCCTAAATTAAGACTGTTTGTTTGAAAGCTGAAGGCAGCAAGCGTAAACAATCCGGATTGCTTAAGCATACTTGAGCCAGAAATTGCATTGTAGGATAGATTTGTGAAAAAATACATACACCTGCTCAAAAGACCATATACAGGTAATTGATTTAAACATAAAGGGTTTTGTTTTCGTTGACTGAGACCCACTTACTTATAGCCGTCTGAAAGTATTCATTATGACTTCTTTGGCAGGTTGTAGAAATAAATGGCTAAATAAAGGCCCCTTAGGTAAGTGGAGCTACGCTTCTTGTTGGCTATATTAGAGTGGGTTCAATAAATGTGAGTGTGACACTAAATATAATGGAGTAACAAACTAAGGTACACTCTCTAGACAAAAACAGGTAAAAATTGGAGACTTACTGGTGCAAGAAACACTGTTAATATGCATGTGCTGTTAAAATCTATCCAGACCCAAGGCTACTAGCGAACACAAAAAAGCCATATTCGTAATAGCTTAACAAGGTATACAGAATGAAACAGTTGTCTCTTGGAATTCTAGCTTACTAGAAAGCTTGGTTGAATAGTAATAAGACTAACAGCAGTGGGTCAAAATAATGTAATTTGCTTACATTATAGCAGAGAATGGGACTGAGAGCATGCTAATATTGCCAGCAGCAAGCGTGTAACAACAGTGAGGTAGTCAGGCGAGGACACAGCACACTAGGCCGAAAAGCCCTTGACTGTTGGTTTGAGCTGTGTACAGAAGCGTGGGCGTATCTTCGTGATGCCAAAATCAGTACATGAAAAGTACTGATGACACGGTTCTCAAAGTGCAGAAGATGTGTTCACTCCTTTCTATTATTCATACATCCTAAAACTGCTGACCAGTGTTTACTCAACCACATTTTTTACAGTACATCTTCGTCCATTGCAGTTTCATAATATTTGTTCATTATACAATTATGCATGCTTATTTGAAGTGCAGCAACTTGAACTGATGCATTTTTGTGCAAAACGTTCGGCGTTATTAAGTCAGAGACTCGATTACCTTTCCTTAATAAATAAACTAACAACAACGATCTTTTTGTGAGTTTTCGCAGGCTGAATAATCACTGAAAAGCTGAGAAGTTAATATATAACTGATCTGTTCTCAGGGGATCATCAGCGAACACAGAAGTGTCCATTGTTCCTCGATTATTATCCCTTTCTAATGATGACTGTCCACCTGATTCAAGATATTAACGTTAATGAACAGTTTAAAAGAAACATCCAATAACATAGAAAATGGCATACCTGTGATCTAATCTTATACGATTCTTCGACCAAAGATACGACATGAAGAAATTCTGGTGCAGTACCCGATTTGGCTTGAGATAATTTGTTCTCCGCTTGCATTAATCTTTCATTGTATAGTAACTCCTTGACTTGTTTAAATTCCCATTCCAACTCTGAAATCTCTGACTGCAATTCCCTTTTCAGAGATTCAACCTCTACATCTGTGAGCTCTTCCCCAACACCTTCATTTCGAAAATCAGACTCCTGGAAATCTTCTTCATTAGAACGATCTTCATCTACTTGACAATAATCATTTAATTCTAAATTTTACAAACCTTCATCAGCCATAGTTGAATAACAGTGACTTGATAGATCTGATTTATAATTGAGAATTATTATAAAAAATTATAAAACATATGATGATAGCCAAGTCTATGTAGTTTGACACTTGTGCTTTATGATGTTAGGCAGTAAGGTTATGATTCTCTTGAACTATAATTCATTGGCCAAATATTCTGATTGCTAACGAAGAATTCAAAAGAAAACAATGTTAGTTAGGCATGAATTTTTGTACGGATTTTCGATTGTTTTCAGAATAATTATGTATGAATAATCTCTCACATATCTATGTATCATGGTTTCAACTACAGGCGGCACGAATTAGGATGTCAAGTCCAGGCCAAAATGGGAAAAGCAAGACACACTTTCACTAACCTGAAATCAATATAGAAAACTGTTGCACTCATCATAAAGAAAAAGATTCAGATCTTCGATACTAATGTCAAGTCAGTGCTTCTTTATGGTTCAGAGAATATCAGCATGAGACACCAAAAGCATTTTCAACAAGCTTCAGACATTTATCGACAGGTGCCTTCGCTCCATACTGAAGATAAGACAGCTGTTGGAAACGAATAGCAACAGGGATCTCTGGGAATAAACCAAGCAAGAACCTATTACTTAAGATATATGCCGAAGAAAAAGGCGATGGATCGGAAACACGGTGAGAAAACGATGACCTGGGCGTAAGCCTGAGGATGACATGGTTGAGGTCATGTAAAGAAATGAAAGCTTACGGGCAATCGTCGAGCCGTCTTAAAAGTGCTGCATAGAGCAAGCAGGATGAAATGGATATATGCTGTTGAAGCCATATTTTCCAATCATAACCCTCCAAAGGCCTCAGGATGGTCGGGGGTGGGTGCCTTGCGCTGCGGGTTGGCCACCCCTCCGCACACCTCTTCAAATGCTCCCATATGACCGGGCGTCTTACACAGCCTCTCCTGAGGAAGTCCTACTCACTGCCTTCACGTGGCAGAGGTGTTTTTCACCAAAGTGAGAGGGCGAAAGCGGATGCCCGGCGCTCTTCACTGGGTTGACTGTCCATTGGATGACAGTCTAGGGGAGATGGCTAAACCCTGATTCCAAACTTCCAACGACTGGCGTATGAAGCTCACTGGAGCTCACCGGCAGACGTATGGACAAAGGGCTTGTTGGATGTCTGGCCCCATTCAAAAAGGCGTATGAACCGAACTCCGGTCACCGGCTGCCAATGGATAGTGGACTCCCTACTCCACTCCTACTGCCTTGTAGGTCACACTTGGTTGTGTAAAGGCTAGAGCTGCACTCTCAAAGAAAAGGCCGAGCGATTCTGGGGACATCACTCGTACCAAATTCCCATGAAACTTCACGAACTCTCTTACAGATCGCCGCGCCTGGGCAGCGATGATTCGAGATGTTCATGAAGCCGGCTCATCCTCCCGTAGGAGATAGCCGAAGTAATGTAATGTAATCATAACCCAGAGGAATAATAATCATGAAAGGTCTTACTATGAAAGAAAGTATTTCTTGTTCTTCCGATGTCAATATTATACTTCAGTTATAAAGCATAGCAGTCCAAAACAATGTAGGACTTAGATACAATACATCAACTGTTAGGAATGCTGCAAGATGTGACATAGCAGCAATATACACTCATCAATGTAAGTTTTAAATTGCATTTTAGGTTTATATGCAGATGCAGGGTACATTTGGTTTTATATAAACGCAGAGAAACGATAGAATCTCCGGAAAATCTTACGAAAGAAATAGTTATAACTAGTTTTTTGTTGACAGAAACAGTTAAACAATCTTCTGGTATATACTAATGGCTAAGAGAAATTAGGAGCTACTGTACCAGTCAACGCTTTTCAGCCATGCCGAAGTGATCTAAAAACATATGTATTAGTACAGTGTGGACTGATTATATAAATGGTATGTGCTAAAAGGGAAAAATCGCTCGTTCTCTCTGGCTAAACGAGCGACCTAAACACAGAATTAAATCAAGTACTTACAATGTACGCAGTTCAACACAAATTTTGATTGTAGTTCCCTTTTGCATTTATATCGATTCAAACTGGCTGGTAAACTGCCGATTTGTGTGGGTGATAGGCAGCTTTCCATACCACTCAACAATATATCACAGCTTCTAAATCCACATAAAATATCATAGCACATCACGATTCTGACAGTGCAATTCGACGGAAACACATACGCCAGACTGTCAACTTTTACCTCGAAACTGCCCCCACTTTCTTTACCATAACTTATTGCTATATCTGCATGCCTAGGGAAACAAGGATTACTTAATTACTGCAAACTAGATGCGTAAAAGTATACAATTTCATTACTTTAACTGATATCACATGCTTACAGTTTAGTTTTAAATGAGCGTCTTCCAACTTTCTGGACCCCAAGGTTTTCGTTAGTGAGTTCAACTGACATCTCTGCGTCTCAGACTGACGGTGGATGACTTCATGGAGTGATGCAATGTTTAGTTTTGGCTGCCACTAACTCTCTTACATCTACTACTATGTCAAAACTGCCCGTTGAAAATGTGATAGTTCGGTGTGCATATCACAAATCTAAATCAATTAAATAGATTGAACTTTCCATTTTAACCACCGACTTATACTGGCTACCAAAGATTGTAAGGTTGGTTGAATTATTGTTTAATATATTACTCTACCTAACGCCAGGAAGAAATCAACGGAATCTATGACGGGAACTTTATCTTCTGATAACTATTCTTAATGAACATCTTCCAGCTGAACAACAAGGTCGTCACATTTTCTTTAGTACAAATTAAAATCAGCTGTCGCTAAATAGTTAATTAATGGTTCCTAGCACACCTGGGATATTCATGGACTACTGTTGCGTAAACACAACTGCCGGAACGCACTTATCAGCCTTAGCACTTAAAAGGCCGCGAAGCTGTGCAGTGCAAATGGAAACGAGGCTATTCAAGGAATTCATATATAGCAGATGAAATTCGAATTGTATTTAGCTCAAAACACAAAGGTACAACTCAAAGTACAATTTTTTACATGAATCTTAAGAGCAAGACGTTCAATAGAATCCCCAACCTGATTACTGACACAAATTAATAGGATCAAAAAATTCTGAAGCAATAACAGACCACTTCTCTACATTGTTTTACATGAGCAGGCACCACCCGTAGCATCAGCTCCAGCTGTTCTAGAAGAAGATGGGTTAGGTTGGGTCTAAACTAACCCAAACATTGTACCGTCATCCCTAAGCAGAACAGACACAGAAATTAATGAACGCAGTGAATTTCCCTCGATTTTTCTAAAATGACTGGCAGCTCACATAGCTGACCCAGCGAGTACTATCTTCAGGCTATACCTTTTAGACGAAGTGTCATGGGTGCAACCGGAAGAATGCAACAGAAGCCCTCATACATAAGGGAGGATCCAGGTACTTTTCTTTCAACTACATGCCTACCAGTCTTACCAGCACCTTGATCAAGATGCTGAAAGGAGGAATCAAGAAAGCATATTCGGAAAGCAACTTTAACACATCATGATTTCCGGTGATTACACAAAAGTCAGCAAAGATTTCAACAAGACACCTCATAAAATAATGGTTACGAAATTGGAAAGCTTTTGAATGACGAGAGATCTGTACAACTGAATCAAGGAATTCCACGGATATAAAAGACAACATCGGGGTTAACTCGAATCTCTCTAAATGGACGACGGTAAGTAGAAGTGTGCTACAAGGTTCTGCGCTTAGGATCCTATTTATTCTGTATGTCGATGAATCACCTGGCTTCAACAAGTCTGCTCTAGTTTTCTACAGAGATGACCTAAAATTTGGAGACATTTGAGATAACAGAGACAGACATCGCAAGAGGACCTCAACAGATCCTTAGATTGGTCCAAAGAATGGACATTTTCCATCACCCTAACGAAGTGCGCATCTACACGCACAGTAAATACAACAGAGGGGGAATACCGTTCATAACAATTCAGATGCACATGGATCTAGGTGTCATACTACATCATGGCCTAAAAACTAAGCCACTGTCGCGCGACGGAATCTTGCAGTTTTAGATCCCCATGGCAATAAGCAGCGCCTTTACTAGAATCAACAGTGAAATGTCCACTTTATATACATCTTCAGTGTGGTCAAAACTTGAAAACTACTTCCGAGTAGCTCACCACTGTTTCAAAAGACATATATTCTGATATGACCAATTTATCACATGCGTATAGGGTCAGCTGTTTAAATCTGTTCTTCTTATACTGTAGTCAGAAATCTTATTACAATGTTCAAAACTACAAGATATAATAATAATTTGCTTTATTCCAGAAACAGTACTAGCGGTACAGTGTGGAATTTTCAGCACATATGTGTTTATGAACCCGACTTTTTCTCTCTTTGCCTTTCCACGGTACCGAAACATTTTGAAGAATGTGGTGGCAGAGTTCAAACACTGGGAAGAAACTATGGCTAAGAAATACTGGTTCTCCCTTGATACTAAATATTGGAACGGACTGCCACATGGGGAATGATCTTGGCAAAACATTACTCAGACAGCAAAAACTATTAACACACTGTTATTTTCCAACCAAAAAGTTAAATGGATAATATTATGAACTTAAGCCTGTATTAAATCTCACAACTGAGAGATATATGCTTTCAGTAGTGTTCTATGTGTACTAGAAGACGAAAATTATTATACCCCAACAGTTTTGAAAATACATTACAGTATTTTAAAAATATATCTTGAAGAAAAAGTGGAAACTAATATCGCCAGGAGAAACAACATACCTCAACATCACAGAGTGTCGCCAGCTCTGAACAGCGCACGTTAATCAATATAACCTTAAACAAACAATCGTTTTCGACTGAAATTAAACATCACGTACAAGGTCATTGATGGAGTGAGACGCTCAAAGGTCATTTTCGTCCAAGTTAGTCGGCCATGTTGGATTACAGTTCCGTAGCTGTTCATTCACACACTGGTTTTTCCGTTTATCCAGCAGTTATTCACAACTTATCTTGATGCACATTGTTTACAAATGTTGCGTTTCACTTCATTATTGTTTCCGTTTCTGTTAAAATTAGTTATTTCGTTTGTTTCGAAAGTTTTTATCAGCAGGTCAGTGCATTCATTTCAATGTAATTGTTTCATACGTTGCATTCATGCATGGTTTCAAGGTTTTAGTTGTTTTTCCACTATTAATGAATTCGTACTGTGTAGAAGTTTTGGAAATTGTGCACATGAACATGTTTGGTTGGCGGAAGCAGTTGTTTCCAGTTCATTCGTTGGTTGCCGTTATTGTTGCTGGCTCAGTTGCTTACTTAACATGTAGAAATCTGGAAAAAGCAATGTCTGTCACATACATGTTTACAGCATGCAGCAATCTACGAGTCAATCTGGTGAGGAAAATACGATCAGAGTTGATATTAGCAAAGTTTTCGAAGAGCAAATTAAACCTGGAGAATTTAGGATCTGGGATGATGTTGAAAAAGCTTTGAAGCTTTTGAGAAGGTGAGCACAGTATCAGTGTGTCTATTATCAGTTAACAAACACCCGGTATATTGTCAGAGAATCTAAATTAAATAAGGATGAGCCACATGTGAAGTATGACTATGCGGTGTTTGTATGTACTTTTGGACACAAAAGGAAATCCGTAGGTAATCACATCCGCCTTAGAGGGTAAGTTTCCTGTGGTTGTTAATGTCTTATGGAGTAGATCTAAATACAGTGATCCGATATCATTGCAATGAATTCATTATACCATGTGTATATTTGATTCATAATCACTGTTGCACTCGGGAATATTTAAGGAAGGATGCCACAGCACGCAAATTAGATTAGTCTGAACTCTGTATAGTTAAGCCGATGGTGTCTGTTTCATCCGAACCTTAAAAAGTTATTGGTTACGTGGCAGAAGGATTCAAAAAACAGAATGACGTACAATGATCTATGAAATATAAGAGCTACTGTATGTAGGATTATATTTTACCTACAGATTTATTCTTTCCTCAGTACTGACGATACAGAGTCTCGGCTTAACTATAGTTAAAAACAGGATGACTTGACTTAAACTTTATCTGTTTCTAAAACATAAAATAAATCATACAATTACACCAAGAAAAATACACAAATCCACTGTCATTCAAAAAAGGACAAAAACGTACCGAACAGTATTGAGGGGACGAACAAAATGAACAGTTAATTAATAACATGTGCACATATAGAGTGACAGAAAACAAAGGACACTCAAGGTCACATCACGTGGTGTGAGTTACATTAAATTAACCAATAATCGCGACAAAGGGGTCACATAATACTGGGTAGCTGTCTGTCATACAGTCTATCTATCTGTCGCGATTAACACTCCCCGCGAACGATCACCACGTTGATTTCTTGTATCTGGGACCTTCAAGCTTCGGCTTCTTACAACAAACATACGCTTCTTATATCTCGCTCGACTTCTTGAGTTGCAGTTTTCAAACTAACCGCCCTGACGCGGCCATCTTGGTCATAGTACACCTGCTTAACTATAGCCATTGGCCAGAGACCTCTCGGTGTGTCAGTACTGTTAACTAGGACGAGATCACCAGGTTGTAGGTTGCGCTTTATATCCAACCACTTAGATCTTGCTCGCAGCACTGGAAGATATTCACGTAGCCATCTATGCCAGAACAAATCAGCCAAATGTTGTGCTTCCTTCCATCTTTTGTCATACGATGACGTTCTACTAGCTTCTATTCCTTCAAACGTCAACTGTTTATGAAGTAATAATAATTTGTTCGAAGTTAGAACACTTAATTCATCGCCGCCACCTGTCAACCTTACCAACGGTCGACTGTTTAAAATTCCTTCGGACTCCACCAAGAATGTTTCCAATGTTTCGTCTGTTAGCACTTTCTGAAATAATAGCGTCCGTAAGATCTTTCTAACAGATCTAATAACGCACTCCCATACACCTCCACGGTGACTGGCTCTAGGTGGATTGAAATGCCATTCACATCCCTTTTCTAGAAGATTATTCGCTATCTTTGTCTTATCCCAATTTCTAATAATTTGCTTCAAACTAGCATCAGCTCCCTTGAAGTTAGAACCGTTGTCACTAAATATGTGCTCTGGGTATCCTCTTCTTGCAGCAAACCTAGAGAATGCACACAGAGAGGAGTCAGTGTCTAAGGTATGTGCCATTTCGATATGAACCGCTCTTATCGATAAGCATGTAAACAGACAACTATAACGTTTTTCAACAACTCTTCCTCTCTTCGTAAAATATGGTCCAAAATAGTCCACGCCAACAGAGTTGAACGGTGGTACATGAGCCCTTAACCGGCACTCTGGCAATGGAGCTATTATCTGAGAACACGGTGCAGCATTAAGTCTCTTGCACAAGTAACATTGCCTCAATACTCTCCTAACTGTAGAATAACCTTTTAGAATCCAGAATTCTTCCCGAAGACTATTTAGAACATGCATGATACCTGCATGAGCATTCTGAAGATGACAATGCATCACTATCATATCGGTGACAAAGTGCTTACCGGGTAATATAATCGGATGCTTACTATCAAAGGGTAAGCATGATAATTGTAAGCGACCTCCCACTCGAATGATGTCATCTACCGCAAATGGAGTGAGTATCTTTATCGTAGATCCGCGGACAACGCCACCCTTCATGGCTTTGTAGGACGACCGCATTTGACATGCCAACTCATTGCTCATGCCGACCTTTCCAACTTCGTAGCCATTAGCAATGTTTCTACAATCACTTCCTGTGGACTTTAATGTCTCAATCTCGTCGGGAAATGTATCGTTCTGCACTAGCTTAAGTATATGCAACTTGGCTCTACTGATATCCTCTAGCGATAGTTTGCAAGCGATAGATGGTTTTCCACCCTTTCGCATTTTCAAATTGCGGATGAAATGCTGACATAAGGCGAAAACTCTTAGCATCTTAATCCATGAAGTGAACGCTCTGAATCTATCTAGTAGTTGACCATGTTCCTGTAGTGTATTCGACCCACAGGTTTCGTCCACTAACACATTACTGCTGATAACACTTTCATCTTCATCCATATAAGACCAATTCTCTTCCCTGTTTCTTAGGAATTGTGGTCCATAAAGCCACTAGTTGATCTTAACATCATCATCTAACGAAAGTCCACGTGAGGCGTAATCAGCAGGATTCTGTTTACTGCTGACCTGTCTCCACTGATCTGGTAGGGATGACTCATGGATAACTGCGAGTCTGTTGCCTACAAATCTTTTTATCGAATGGAGCACAATTAATGAATCCGTCCAGTAAGTTGTAGACGAAATCGGCACACGAAGCTGTTGTTGCAGATGTTTACCAATCTTGAGACATAGTACAGCGGCTACTAACTCTAGTCTAGGTATAGCAACAGATTTCAATGGTGCGACTCTAGATTTTGCCAGCAGTAAAGAACAATGAACTTGGCGGGAAACATCTTCTACACGGACATATACTGCAGCACCGTATGCGAATTCTGAAGCGTCTGAGAAGCAATGAAGCTGAGTGCTCAACGGTTCACAAGAAATAGGCATTATACATCGGAGAATGCGAATTTTATGCAAATAATTAATATTCTTATACCATCTATTCCAGGAGGCTAGACAGTCTTCAGGTAGTTCTGCATCCCATTCTAATCGCCTTCTACATGTATCTTGCAAAATTAATTTAGCAGGCAACAATATCGGTGCTATGATTCCAACCGGGTCGAATATTGAAGCCACGTATGACAAAAGAGTCCTTCTAGTTGTTCTTGTTTCAAATTCAGGAGTTCGAAAACAGATACTATCACTTAATACATTCCATTCTATACCCAGCGTCCTATCGTTATTCCCTTTAGATAAGAGGATATCGATGTTCTTCTCTGTGCGGTCTTCTTCTGGAATGAACTTCATTAATTCTCGGTTATTACTAGTCGATTTGGTCAGATTAAATCCTCCTAGTTTTAGGATCTGTTTCAGCTGAGTATAAATCAGCTTACCTTCATCTAACGTATTAACACTAGTAAGCAAATCGTCAACATAAAACTGTTCTCTAGCTATTTGGATAACACGCTCATCGAACTTATCAGCTTTGTCTACGGTAGTCCTTTGTAAGACAAAGGTTGCACAACTTGGCGAAGATGTTGCTCCAAAAATATGCACCTTCATTCTGTAAACTGCCGGTTCCGTATTCACGTCGCCACCAACCCACCGTAAAAATCTAAGGGTGTTTCTGTCGTGAGAAGGAACGATCACCTGATGGAACATAGCTTCTACATCTGCGGTGATACCTACTGGTCGTTGCCGAAGTGTCATAAAGACATCTACCAATTTATTTACTAGATCCGGACCTGAATACAGATTTTTATTCAAAGATATTCCTGCGTACTCTGCTGCACAATCAAACACAATCCTTAATTTATTGGGCTTCTTTGGATGGAAAACCGGGTGGTGTGCCAAGTACCAGACCTGTCCATTAATGTGATCATCTTCGACAATTTCAGCGAAACCTCTTTCAATATACTGAGACATGACGTCAGTATACTCTTTGTGCAGGTCTGAGTCTTGACAAAGGCGTTTTCTCAATGAATTGAGTCTACTCATCGCCAGTTTTCTATTATTAGGTAGAATCTGTTGTCGACGCCATGGTAGTGCTATATGATAATGTCCGTCCACTAATTGTATGGATTCTGACATAATACTTAGAGCCTTACGATCTTCAACAGACATGGGCACTTCATCACTCGTATCGTCAAACTCATTCTTATAGGACCGTTCAAACAAAGCCTCAATTTTCTTTGTGGCTAAGACATGATTGACCATACTAGTTTCTTCAAGGGTCTTCCTGTATGGTCCCAGTAATGTCCAACCCAAGGGAGTCTTTACGGC